TTATATGACTGACAGACTGCAACGGTTTGAGTTAAAAATCTTCGTTTGTGTTCTACTGAAGAAACAAAGTCACCTACATCTTGGATGCCTTTAAATATCCAACTTAACTAAAGTTAACTAAACTTATCATTTTTAAGTCAAGCATGAACACTTACTATTTTAAGTTGAAACAATGCATTATTACTTATTCCAATGTTAAATTTTAAGTTTTAATAACTAATCAATGGGGGGACATATCAGATTGTCCTTGCTCTTTTAAAGAAAAGATACTATTTAGGCAACACCATGTGACAAATGGGACACTGACAATGAAAACGCAGCAAGATACAACACAATCGCAGATAATCAGAACATATTTGATGTTTAATATAGTTATGTGCAGCTCGATTTAGCTTACTCCGCACAATGGCACAGAAATAAAATCATGAGTGACCAAGTTTCTTGTCACTATGCAGCTGGTTAAGACAATGTCGGATTTGAACAGATTAATTTTATTCACTTTATTGCATTTCATATGTAAAGAAGTAACAGTACAAAAGCAAAAACAGCCTGCTTTATTTTAAGGATGAGTAATAGGATGGACAAGGATCATACATTTTTATGAGAGCCTTAAAAATAATTAGCGATTTATAATGTTCAATTTGTTAACATTATGCATTATACATCAATGATGGATAACAATTTTAAAGCCTTTATTAATCTTGGTTAATGTTCATTTCTACATACATTGTTTGATGTATTATGCATGAACATAAATTACTGATGAACAATGTTTCTCACTATCTTTCCAGGAGCTGCGCCAGGGTAGTCCAATTCCTGAACGAATGGCGCATGATTTCTTTTAAGTGAATCACAACACACATAGCTCAGCCAGGGTAGTTTGATTTGCGAATGAATGACTCGCGTGAGCCGGTTCTTTTAAAGAATCAAAACCATACAACCAGGGTTGTCCGATTCTCAAGCGAATGACTCTAATAAGCCGATTCTTTCATGAACAGCGCTATTCAATTCCATTCGAGGAGGGCCAGGACCAGCAGATTTTGTTATTATAACCCTAATCAAAAACCCTGTCTGGAATAATTATGTTATCCTGAAGATTTTGATTAGCTGGTTCTGGTGTGTTTAATTAGGGTTGGAACTGAATCCAGGAATGGAACTCAAAAGCCCTTAACTACCCTTAACCTACATTAAAAAACAACGTAAAATGTTGTTCATTGTTAGTTCATGATACCTAATGCCCACTTTAGGGTCTTTAAATACAACATATAAAATCATAAGGACTGTCGAGAATCATCCTATTTAAATCTGATCTGAATAAGCCCTCCTTGAATAGAGCAGCAGTCAGATACAGGGTCGAGGAAATGCAAACCTGATATAATCTCTCCACGATAGCATTAGTGATATTTCATAAACCCTCCAACCATCTTTATACAAATGAGTTCTCCTCTGGCTTCAATCCATCATCTTGGCTTTTAAAGGTTGGCCAGACCACGACGGATCCATCTTGAAACTAAATGGACTTCAAAGGATGATCTTACTCGAGGTACAGAGCCTCGTGTTTGTACTGGATTAAATTACAGTCCTTTTTGCTTCCGGCTTTGTCATCTTAATCGAAGGTCTAGTCACACACTTCGTAAATGCAGCTATTTGGAAAAGCCTTCATCAGCACATTCTTCAGTAGCCCGCGCTGTGTGTGTGTGGGAGACCTGAATGCTGGAGCTGAATTTGCCTATCTGTTGTGACCAGCGCTGAGTAAATTACTTCTGCAGCCACTTTCAGGATGCATCTATTGATTCTGCACATGGCCAGAAGTGATGGCAGCTTAATGCTTCAATTTACCCCAATCCACACCGAACACAACTTTGTAGCTCGTGC